AATGTTATGTTTCACATTTAGTGGGTTTACAACAACGTTTTCACTTTTATTTAATTCACTTTAACCGGTGATGTTACTTTTTCTTATATAATTATTTTTTTCACGGATTTATAAGAGATTAAATTACATAACCTGCATATATGCGAGTCTTTAATCTAGACTTTATATAAAAGACAAGATAATCAGATGATTCGAAAATTGTCACACGTAAAAGAAAGAAAGAAAGAAATAGCTCTCACATCGATCAGGTTGTTAATGTTGGGCCATGTATATTCAAATTGCACAGATGATACTTCGGAGAGTGCTTCCACAAAGTAATCAACTAAATTCAAGACTTCAATGTCCGGATATCATGTGTATTGACAAACAAAAGGATAATTATTGATTATTTATATGAGACATTCGACCAGTGATGAAACATAGAGATTGATTCTAGTACTTCAGGCATCTTCAATGTATTTTTCTATTTTTTTCTATGGTCGGAGTAAATTAATTTGACTCTAAAACTATTTTAAGGTAAAAAATAGAGATAGGGTTTCCTTTCATTAATTTTATTTTTATTCCTCTCACTTACAACCATTTCCACCCTCTATTTTAGATGCTATTACCGGTGAATCCGCCAGGTAAGCCACAAGATGTGAAGCATCTATCTTTGCCGCAGCTTTGGCACTTGTTTAGGCTTTGCACTTTCAGGCAGAGACACAGCCGGCATCTTCTCCTTTTCGGCAGCTTCGAGCAAAGACACTTTCCGCGTCTTTTTGATTTCCTCCGCCTTCAGATTCTTATACCTGGCCACCCTCGCTTCTTTCGCCGCAAGAATCTTCGCCTGTTGCTTCTCCCGTTGCTTTTGCTTCCGGTTCTCGACTTTCGTCCATCCCTGGTCAGAGGTCTCCGAGCCATCGTACTCCGCAGATTCGGTCGGACCCTTAGGCACTTCTGAAGTTTCTGATAGACTCGGGGCCTATCAACAAAGAAGAGATTCAGATCGAAGAAGAAGAGAATAGGGTTTGTATGGAACAAGGTAAAGTAAAATTAGGGTTTGCATGACGGTCGGATTCTCCTGTTATTAAAACCCTCGTTGATACGCAAATAC